CCCACCAATTCACACATTCACCCACCCACAAATTCACTCACCCAACCACTCATTCATCCACCAATTCACCCACCCAATTCACACATTCACCCACCCACCAATTCACTCACCCGACCACCCATTCATCCACCAATTCACCCATTCACCCACCCAATTCACACATTCACCCACCCACCAATTCACACATTCACCCACCCACCAATTCACTCATCCGACCACCCATTCACTCACCAACCCACGGTTAAGACCACATTTGTATAATTGACATCCACATTTACACCCACAGTAATCAAATAGCGATGGTGACGATGGTGACGTTGGTGATGGTGATGATGTTGGTGGTGATGGTAGTGATGATGGTGGTGATGATGGTGATGATGGTGATGATGTTGGTGGTGATGATCGTGATGATGATGTTGATGATGTTGATGGTGGTGATGGTCGTGATGATGATGTTGGTGGTGATGGTCGTGATGATGATGTTGGTGGTGATGATCGTGATGATGGTGATGATGTTGGTGGTGATGGTCGTGATGATGGTGATGATGGTGGTGATGATGTTGGTGGTGATGTTGGTGGTGATGATGATCGTGATGATGATGGTCGTGATGGTGGTGATGATGGTGATGTTGGTGGTGATGATCGTGATGATGGTGATGATGATGGTGGTGATGATGATGTAACCATAAACCATTCCCGTCGCCACCTGCGTACAGATCCCTGGCGTGGATGGCAGTCGGCCATCGAGCAGACCCAAGTCTCACGAATCCCAATTTAGAAAAAGACAAATTGCACAGAAAATTAACAACTCAAAGTAGCAGCGTCATCACACAGGGGACAGCTGTCACTACAGCGTCATCACACAGGGGACAGCTGTCACTACAGCGTCATCACACAGGGGACAGCTGTCACTACAGCGTCATCACACAGGGGACAGCTGTCACTACAGCGTCATCACACAGGGATAGCTGCTACTGCAGCATCATCACACAGGAGACAGCTGACACTACAGCGTCATCACACAGGGACAGCTGTCACTACAGTAGTAGCAGCGTCATCACACAGGGACAGCTGTCACTACAGTAGCAGCAGCATCACACAGGGACAGCTGATACTACAGTAGTAGCAGCATCATCACAGGGATAGCTGACACTACAGTAGCAGCATCATCACACAGGGACAGCTGATACTACAGTAGTAGCATCATCATCACACAGGGGACAGCTGCTACTACAGTAGTAGCATCATCATCACACAGGGGACAGCTGCTACTACAGTAGTAGCAGCATCACACAGGGGACAGCTGCTACTACAGTAGTAGCATCATCATCACACAGGGACAGCTGTCACTACAGTAGTAGCAGCGTCATCACACAAGGACAGCTGACACTACAGTAGTAGCATCATCACACAGGGACAGCTGACACTACAGTAGCTGCATCATCATCACACAGGGACAGCTGACACTACAGTAGTAGCATCATCACACAGGGACAGCTGACACTACAGTAGTAGCATCATCACACAGGGACAGCTGACACTACAGTAGTAGCATCATCACACAGGGACAGCTGACACTACAGTAGCTGCATCATCATCACACAGGGACAGCTGACACTACTGTAGTAGCATCATCACACAGGGACAGCTGACACTACAGTAGTAGCAGCATCATCACACAGGGACAGCTGACACTACAGTAGTAGCAGCATCATCACACAGGGACAGCTGACACTACAGTAGCAGCAGCATCACACAGGGACAGCTGACACTACAGTAGTAGCATCATCATCACACAGGGACAGCTGATACTACAGTAGTAGCATCATCATCACACAGGGACAGCTGCTACTACAGTAGTAGCATCATCATCACACAGGGACAGCTGTTACTACAGTAGTAGCGTCATCATCACACAGGGACAGCTGCTACTACAGTAGTAGCATCATCATCACACAGGGACAGCTGATACTACAGTAGTAGCAGCATCATCACACAGGGACAGCTGACACTACAGTAGTAGCATCATCATCACACAGGGACAGCTGACACTACAGTAGTAGCAGCATCATCACACAGGGACAGCTGACACTACAGTAGTAGCATCATCATCACAGGGACAGCTGCTACTACAGTAGTAGCATCATCATCACACAGGGACAGCTGACACTACAGTAGTAGCATCATCATCACACAGGGACAGCTGATACTACAGTAGTAGCATCATCATCACACAGGGACAGCTGACACTACAGTAGTAGCATCATCACACAGGGACAGCTGACACTACAGTAGCAGCATCAGCATCACACAGGAGACAGCTGACACTACAGCAGCAGCGTCATCACACAGGGACAGCTGCTACTACAGTAGTAGCATCATCATCACACAGGAGACAGCTGACACTACAGTAGCAGCATCATCATCACACAGGGACAGCTGACACTACAGTAGTAGCATCATCATCACACAGGGACAGCTGATACTACAGTAGTAGCATCATCATCACACAGGGACAGCTGACACTACAGTAGTAGCATCATCACACAGGGACAGCTGACACTACAGTAGCAGCATCAGCATCACACAGGAGACAGCTGACACTACAGCAGCAGCGTCATCACACAGGGACAGCTGCTACTACAGTAGTAGCATCATCATCACACAGGAGACAGCTGACACTACAGTAGCAGCATCATCATCACACAGGGACAGCTGACACTACAGTAGCAGCAGCATCATCACACAGGGACAGCTGACACTACAGTAGTAGCAGCATCATCACACAGGGACAGCTGACACTACAGCGTCATCACACAGGGACAGCTGACACTACAGTAGTAGCAGCATCATCACACAGGGACAGCTGACACTACAGTAGTAGCATCATCATCACACAGGGACAGCTGACACTACAGTAGTAGCATCATCATCACACAGGGACAGCTGATACTACAGTAGTAGCATCATCATCACACAGGGACAGCTGACACTACAGTAGTAGCATCATCACACAGGGACAGCTGACACTACAGTAGCAGCTTCAGCATCACACAGGAGACAGCTGACACTACAGCAGCAGCGTCATCACACAGGGACAGCTGCTACTACAGTAGTAGCATCATCATCACACAGGAGACAGCTGACACTACAGTAGCAGCATCATCATCACACAGGGACAGCTGACACTACAGTAGCAGCAGCATCATCACACAGGGACAGCTGACACTACAGTAGTAGCAGCATCATCACACAGGGACAGCTGACACTACAGCGTCATCACACAGGGACAGCTGACACTACAGTAGTAGCAGCATCATCACACAGGGACAGCTGACACTACAGTAGTAGCATCATCATCACACAGGGACAGCTGCTACTACAGTAGTAGCAGCATCACACAGGGACAGCTGACACTACAGTAGTAGCAGCGTCATCACACAGGAGACAGCTGACACTACAGTAGCAGCATCATCATCACACAGGGACAGCTGACACTACAGTAGCAGCAGCATCATCACACAGGGACAGCTGACACTACAGTAGTAGCAGCATCATCACACAGGGACAGCTGACACTACAGCGTCATCACACAGGGACAGCTGACACTACAGTAGTAGCAGCATCATCACACAGGGACAGCTGACACTACAGTAGTAGCATCATCATCACACAGGGACAGCTGCTACTACAGTAGTAGCAGCATCACACAGGGACAGCTGACACTACAGTAGTAGCAGCGTCATCACACAGGGGACAGCTGACACTACAGTAGTAGCAGCATCACACAGGGACAGCTGACACTACAGTAGTAGCAGCGTCATCACACAGGGGACAGCTGCTACTACAGTAGCTGCATCATCATCACACAGGGACAGCTGATACTACAGTAGTAGCAGCATCACACAGGGGACAGCTGCTACTACATTAGCTGCATCATCATCACACAGGGACAGCTGATACTACAGTAGTAGCATCATCATCACACAGGGACAGCTGACACTACAGTAGCAGCATCATCACACAGGGGACAGCTGACACTACAGTAGTAGCAACATCACACAGGGGACAGCTGTTACTACAGTAGCAGCATCATCACACAGGGGACAGCTGCTACTACAGTAGCAGCATCATCACACAGGGACAGCTGCTACTACAGTAGCATCATCATCACACAGGGACAGCTGCTACTACAGTAGCTGCATCATCATCACACAGGGGACAGCTGCTACTACAGTAGCAGCATCATCATCACACAGGGACAGCTGACACTACAGTAGTAGCATCATCATCACACAGGGGACAGCCGACACTACAGTAGTAGCAGCAGCATCACACAGGGACAGCTGACACTACAGTAGTAGCAGCACACAGGGATAGCTGACACTACAGCAGCGTCATCACACAGGGACAGCTGCTACTACAGTAGCAGCAGCATCATCACACAGGGACAGCTGACACTACAGTAGTAGCAGCGTCATCACACAGGGACAGCTGCTACTACAGTAGTAGCATCATCATCATACAGGGACAGCTGATACTACAGTAGTAGCATCATCACACAGGGACATTAGTACAATGTGGGAGAGACAAAGGCGGCCGGGAAAAGGTTGGTCATGTGGTGGTGGTGGTGGCCATGAATGTCCTCCCCCACCCATCACAGGCACTGCTGCTATAGGAGCACTTGTCCCAACCCAGCCAGCCTTTGCGGGCTACACGGGGGAGCTTTGTCTGTTGTGTTATGTGGTTGAATGAGGGAGTGGGTGAGCGTGTGGGTGAGTGGGTGTGTGTGTGGGTGTGTGTGTGGGTGTGTGTGTGGGTGTGTGTGTGTGGGAGAGCGCGTGGGTGTGTGTGTGTGGGTGTGTATGTGGTTGAGTGTGTGGGTGAGTGTGTGGGTGAGTAGGTGTGTGGGTGTGTGTGTGGGTGAGTGTGTGGGTGAGCGTATGTGTGGGTGTGTGTGTGAGTGAGTGGTGAGTGAGTGAGTGGTGAGTGAGTGAGTGGTGAGTGGTGAGCTTATGGCTGAGCGAGTGATGCAATCTCTTTGGCCACTTTCTTTGCGTTTCTCTCTTCATACAGCAGCCTGCAGAGAGACAGAGAGAGAGACACACAGACAGACAGAGAGACACAGAGAGACAGAGAGACACAGAGAGACACACAGACAGACACAGAGAGACACAGAGAGAGACAGAGAGAGACACACAGACAGACACAGAGAGACACAGAGAGACAGAGAGAGACACAGAGAGACAGAGAGACACAGAGAGAGAGACACACAGACAGACACAGAGAGACAGAGAGAGACAGAGAGAGACACAGAGAGACAGAGAGAGACAGAGAGAGACACAGAGAGAGACAGAGAGAGACACAGAGACACAGAGAGACACAGAGAGAGAGACAGAGAGAGATACACACAGACAGACACAGAGAGACACAGAGAGACACAGAGAGACAGAGAGAGACAGAGAGAGAGACACAGACACAGAGAGACACAGAGAGACAGACAGAGAGACACAGAGAGACAGACAGAGAGAGACAGAGAGACACAGAGAGAGAGACAGAGAGAGAGACAGAGAGACACAGAGAGACAGAGAGAGACACAGAGACAGAGAGACACAGAGAGAGAGACAGAGAGACAGAGACACGCTGAGAGAGACAGAGAGAGAGACAGAGAGACACAGAGACAGAGAGAGACACAGAGAGACACAGAGACAGAGAGAGACACAGAGACAGAGAGAGACACAGAGAGACAGAGAGAGACACAGAGAGACAGAGAGAGACAGAGAGAGACAGAGAAACACAGAGAGACACAGAGAGACAGAGAGAGACAGACACACACAGAGACACAGAGACAGAGAGAGACACACCGAGAGAGACAGACAGAGACAAAGATAGAGACAGAGAGAGACAGAGAGACAGAGACACAGAGACACAGAGGGACAGAGACAAAGAGGGACAGAGAGACAGAGAGACAGACACAGAGAGAGAGGTTAATACAAAGCTCCCCCATTTAGCCTTAACAGACTGTTGGGGCAAGTGCTGTTAGCGAGCACCTATGAAGGCCGGAACGGCACACGAGGGGGTGGGTGGCCAGCCCCACGCCCGGCCGCCTTTGTCTCCCCCAGTGCTAGCGATGTTCACTACGCACCTACACACCAGCACAGCTACACCAGGTAACTCATTTGAGGCTGAGTCGACCTAGGGGAGGCCCAGGACCGGCTCAGACGAATCGTCACTGCTGGTGGTGTTGGCCGTGAGCGGGAATCAAACTTCAGGTGGCCGGGTTCAGAGCGCAGCGTAGCGCTGAGCACTACAATACCACTCAACACTATACACACTGACACACACACAGACACACACACAGATAGACACACACACACAGACACACAGATAGACACACACACACACACTGACACACACAGATAGACACACACACACACCACCACCACACACACACTGACACACACACACAGATAGACACACACACAGACACACACACACAGACACACACACAGACACACACACACAGACACACACACAGACACACACACACAAAGACACCACACAGACACACACACACAGACATACACACAGTGACACACACACAGACACACACACAGACACACACACAGACACACACACAGACACACACACAGACAGACACACACACAGACACACAGACACACACACAGACAAACACACAGACACACAGACACACACAGACACACACACAGTGACACACACACACACAGACACACACACAGACATACACACATACAAACACACAGACACACACACAGACACACACACAGACACACACACAGTGACACACACAGTGACACACACAGACACACAGACACACACACAGACACACACACAGACACACACACAGACACACAGACACACACACAGACACACACACAGACAGACACACACACAGACACACAGACACACACACAGACAGACACACAGACACACACACAGACACACACACAGACACACACACAGACACACACACAGACACACACACAGACACACACACAGACACACACACATACAAACACACAGACATACACACATACAAACACAGACACACACACAGACACACAGACACACACAGTGACACACACAGTGACACACACAGACACACAGACACACACACAGACAGACACACAGACACACACACAGACAGACACACAGTGACACACACAGTGACACACACACAGACACACAGACACACACACAGACAGACACACAGACACACACACATACACACACACAGACACACACAGACACACACACACACAGACACACACACAGACACACACACAGTGACACACACACACACACACAGACACACACACATACAAACACACAGACACACACAGACAGACACACACAGACAGACACACACACAAACACACAGACACACACACACAGACAGTGACACAGACACACACACAGACACACACACAGACACACACACAGACACACACACACACACAGACACACACACATACAAACACACAGACACACACAGACAGACACACACAGACAGACACACAGACACACACACACAGACAGTGACACAGACACACACAGACACACACAGACACACACAGTGACACACACACAAACACACAGACACAGACACACACACACAGACACACACACACACAGACACACACAGACAGACACACCACACCAGTGTCCGTGAGCGGTAATCCAACTCGGGTGGCCGGGTTCACGGCGCAGCGTAGCGCTGAGCACTACAATACCACTCGACACTCACACAGACACACACAGACACACACACAGATAGACACACAGATAGACACACACACACAGACACACACACAGGTATAGTAGAGGTCTCTCTCCCCATGTGTCTCTCTCTACCACTCAACACTCACACAGACACACACACAGGTATAGTAGAGGTCTCTCTCCCCATGTGTCTCTCTCTACCACTCAACACTCACACAGACACACACACAGGTATAGTAGAGGTCTCTCTCCCCATGTGTCTCTCTCCCCATGTCTCTCCCCGTGTCTCTCTCCCCGTGTCTCTCTCTCTCTCTCCCTGTGTCTCTCTCCCCCCGTGTCTCTCTCTCTCCCCTTGTCTCTCTCTCTCCCCAAGTCTCTCTTTCTCGCTGTGTCTCTCCCCCCGTGTCTCTCTCCCCATGTCTCTCCCCCCGTGTCTCTCTCTCTCCCCGTGTCTCTTCCCATGTCTCTCTCTCTCCCCGTGTCTCTCTCCCCGTGTCTCTCTCTCTCCCCGTGTCTCTCTCTCTCTCCCCGTGTCTCTCTCTCTCCCCGTGTCTCTCTCTCCCCGTGTCTCCCTCACCCCGTTTCTCTCTCCCTGTGTCTCTCTCTCTCCCCGTGTCTGTCTCTCTCTCTCCGTGTCCATGTCTCTCTCTCCCCGTGTCTCTCTCTCCCCGTGTCTCTCTCTCTCCGTGTCTCTCTCTCCCCGTGTCTCTCTCCCCGTGTCTCTCTCTCTCCGTGTCTCTCTGCCTGCATCTCACCGGTTCTGGATGATTCTCTGCACAATGGAGTCGGTCGTTAAATCGTTTCCAGACATCACCACCTGGAAAATTCCCCTGTGCTTTGCCTCCTGGACACATCAACAACATCACCACCACCATCAACATCATCATCATCACCATAATCAACATCATCATCAACACCATCACCACCATCATCATCACCATCATCATCAAACAACATCACCACCACCATCATCATCACCATCATCACCATCATCACCATCACCAACATCATCATCAACACCATCACCACCATCATTATCAACATGAACACCATCATCATCATCACCATCAGCAACACCATCATCATAATCAACACCACCATCATCATAATCAACATCAACACCACCATCATCAACATCACCATCATCATAATCAACATCAACACCACCATCATCAACATCACCACCATCATAATCAACATCAACACCATCACCATCAACATAAACACCATCAACACCATCACCATGAACACCATCATCATCACCATCATCATCACCACCATCATTATCACCATCAACATGAACACCATCAACACCATCACCAAGAACACCATCATCATCATCACCATCAACATGAACAACATCAACACCATCACCAAGAACACCATCATCATCATCACCATCAACATGAACACCATCAACACCACCACCATCATTATCACCATCAACATGAACACCAGAAACACCACCACCATCATTATCACCATCAACATGAACACCAGAAACACCACCACCATCATTATCACCATCAACACCATCAACATGAACACCATCAACACCACCACCATCATTATCACCATCAACACCATCACCATCAACACCATCAACACCAACACCATCATTATCACCATCAACACCATCACCATCATTATCACCATCAACACCATCACCATCAACAAGAACACCATCAACACCAACACCATCATTATCACCATCAACACCATCACCATCAACATGAACACCATCAACACCACGACCATCATTATCACCATCAACATGAACACCATCAACACCATCACCAACATGAACACCATCATTATCACCATCAACACCATCAACATGAACACCATCAACACCACCACCATCATTATCACCATCAACACCATCAACATGAACACCATCAACACCATCAACACCACCACCATCATCATCACCATCAACATGAACACCATCAACACCAACACCATCATTATCACCATCAACACCACCACCATCATTATCACCATCAACATCACCATCATTATCACCATCAACACCATCAACATGAACACCATCAACACCAACACCATCATCATCACCATCAACACCACCACCATCATTATCACCATCAACATCATCACCATCAACACCACCACCATCATTATCACCATCAACACCACCACCATCATTATCACCATCAACACCATCACCATGAACACCACCATGATGATTGTTGTGTGTGGAGCCAGTAGGGACAGGGGGCGTGGCTAACAGGGGGCGTGGCTAATAAGGGGCGTGGCTAACAGGGGGCGTGGCTTGAAGGGGGCTGGAGGCGTGACGCTGTAGCTGACAGAGTAACTTAGATTACTTTGTCACTGTAGCTGAGAGTAACTTTGATTACTTTGTCACTGTAGCTGAGTAACTTAGATTACTTTGTTACTGTAGCTGAGTAACTTAGATTACTTTGTCACTGTAGCTGAGTAACTTAGATTACTTTGTCACTGTAGCTGAGAGAGTAACTTAGATTACTTTGTCATTGTAGCTGAGTAACTTAGATTACTTTGTCTCTGTAGCTGAGTAACTTAGATTACTTTGTCACTGTAGCTGAGTAACTTAGATTACTTTGTCACTGTAGCTGAAAGAGTAACTTAGATTACTTTGTCACTGCAGCTGAGAGAGTAACTTAGATTACTTTGTCACTGTAGCTGAGTTACTTAGATTACTTTGTCACTGTAGCTGAGTTACTTAGATTACTTTGTCACTGTAGCTGAGAGTAACTTAGATTACTTTGTCACTGTAGCTGAGTTACTTAGATTACTTTGTCACAGTAGCTGAGAGTTACTTAATATTACTTTGTCACCATAGCTGAGAGAGTAACTTAGATTACTTTGTCACTGTAGCTGCGTAACTTAGATTACTTTGTCACTGTAGCTGAGTAACTTAGATTACTTTGTCACTGTAGCTGAGAGAGTAACTTAAGATTACTTTGTCACTGTAGCTGAGAGAGTAACTTAGATTACTTTGTCACTGTAGCTGAGAGAGTAACTTAGATTACTTTGTCACTGTAGCTGAGTAACTTAGATTACTTTGTCACTGTAGCTGAGAGAGTAACTTAGATTACTTTGCCACTGTAGCTGAGTAACTTAGATTACTTTGTCACTGTAGCTGAGAGAGTAACTTAGATTACTCTGTCACTGTAGCTGAGTAACTTAGATTACTTTGTCACTGTAGCTGAGAGAGAAACTTAAGATTACTTTGTCACTGTAGCTGAGAGAGTAACTTAGATTACTCTGTCACTGTAGCTGAGTAACTTAGATTACTTTGTCTCTGTAGCTGAGAGTAACTTAGATTTCTTTGTCACTGTAGCTGAGTTACTTAGATTACTTTGTCACTGTAGCTGAGTAACTTAGATTACTTTGTCACTGTAGCTGAGAGTAACTTAGGTTACTGTCACTGTAGCTGAGTAACTTAGATTACTTTGTCTCTGTAGCTGAGAGTAACTTAGATTACTTTGTCACTGTAGCTGAGTTACTTAGATTACTCAGCTACATCATCATCATCATTTGGGTTGGCTGGGGCCGCTGATCTGAAAATAAGTTAACCATCTCACTGAGCTTTGCCCTGATAGGATGGTTGAGTGTTGTACTTTTGTACGTTTGCCAAGGAGGGTGTGGTGAGTGTCTGGGTGAGGTGTGGGTGAGCTTACGCTGTAAGGGTCCATGCCATCCCTGTCGACCATGATCTCCGTGGCTCCATGGCAAACCAGCGATACCTGTGAAAAACACTCACCAACTCACTCAACAACTCACTCACCAACTCACTCACCAACTCACTCACCAACTCACTCAACAACTCACTCACCAACTCACTCAACAACTCACTCGCCAACTCACTGACCAACTCACTGACCAACTCACTGACCAACTCACTCACCAACTCACTCACCAACTCACTCAACAACTCACTCACCAACTCACTAACTCACTCACTCACCAACTCACCAACTCACTCAACAACTCACTCACCAACTCACTCACCAACTCACTGACCAACTCACTCACCAGCTCACTCACCAACTCACTCACCAACTCACTCACCAACTCACTCACCAACACACTGACCAACTTCACTCACCAACTCATTCAACACTCACCAACTCACTCACCAACTCGCTCGCCAACTCACTCGCCAACTCACTCGCCAACTCACCAACACGCTCACCAACTCGCTCACCAGCTCACTCGCCAACTCACCAACTCACTCACCAACACACTCACCAACTCACTCACAAACTCACTCACCAACTCACTCAAACTCACTCACCAACTCACTGACCAACTCACTCACAAACTCACTCACCAACTCACTCACCAACTCATTCACCAACTCACTCGCCAACTCACTCGCCAACACACTCGCCAACTCACTCGCCAACACACTCACCAACTCACTCACCAACACACTCACCAACTCACTCACCAACTCACTCACCAACTCACTCACCAACACAATCACCAACTCACTCACCAACACACTGACCAACTTCACTCACCAACTCATTCAACACTCACCACCTCACTCACCAACTCGCTCACCAACTCACTCGCCAACTCACTCGCCAACTCACCAACACGCTCACCAACTCGCTCGCCAACTCGCTCGCCAACTCACTCGCCAACTCACCAACACACTCACCAACTCACTCACCAACTCACTCACCAACTCACTCACCAACACACTGACCAACTCACTCACCAACTCACCCACCAACTCACCCACCAACTCACTCACCAACTCACTCAACAAATCACCAACACACTCACCAACACCCTCACCAACCCACCCAAACACCCACAAACCCAATTACCAAACCACACATTCCAACCACCCACCCACTCACCCACTCACCCACCAACCCACTCACCCACTCACCCAACCACTCACCCAACCACTCACTCACCCACTCACCCACTCACCAACTCGCTCACCAACTCACTCACCAACACCCTCACCAACCCACCCAAACACCCACAAACCCAATTACCAAACCACACATTCCAACCACCCACCAACCCACCCACCAACCCACTCACCCACCCACTCACCCACCAACCCACTCACCCACTCACCCACCCACTCACCCACCAACCCACTCACCCACTCACCCAACCACTCACTCACCCACTCACCCAACCACTCACTCACCCACTCACCCAACCACTCACTCACCCACTCACCAACTCGCTCACCAACTCACTCACCTACACACTCACCAACCCACCCAAACACCCACAAACCCAATTACCAAACCACACATCCCAACCACCCACCAACCCACCCACCAACCCACTCACCCACCCACTCACCCACCAACCCACTCACCCACTCACCCACCCACTCACCCACCAACCCACTCACCCACTCACCCAACCACTCACTCACCCACTCACCCAACCACTCACTCACCCACTCACCCAACCACTCACTCACCCACTCACCAACTCGCTCACCAACTCACTCACCTACACACTCACCAACCCACCCAAACACCCACAAACCCAATTACCAAACCACACATTCCAACCACCCACCCACTCACCCACTCACCCACCAACCCACTCACCCACTCACTCACCCACTCACCCAACCACTCACTCACCCACTCACCCAACCACTCACTCACCCACTCACCAACTCGCTCACCAACTCACTCACCAACACCCTCACCAACCCACCCAAACACCCACAAACCCAATTACCAAACCACACATTCCAACCACCCACCCACCCACTCACCCACCCACCCACTCACCCACCAACCCACCCACCCACCAACCCACCCACCCACCCACTCACCCATCTCCCCACCCACCCACTCACCAACCCACCCACCCACTCACCAACCCACCCACTCACCCACCAACCCACTCACCAACCCACCCATCTCCTCACCCACCCAACCGCTTGACCCCGTGACCCCTCACCTGGAAGTGGTCAAGGAGGTCGGAGGTGACGGAGTATGGAGCGCCGATCACAACCTCGGAGACAAACTGGGGACACGCGGGGACACACGGAGACACACGGAGACACGCGGGGTGAGACACAGACACGGAGACACACAGAGACATGTGGGTGAGACACACGGAGACACGCGGGGTGAGACACAGAGACGGAGACACAGAGACATGTGGGTGAGACAGACACGGAGACACGCAGAGACATGTGGGTGAGACACACGGAGACACGGAGACACGCGGGGTGAGACACAGACACGGAGACACGCAGAGACATGTAGGGTGAAACACACGGAGACACGCAGAGACACACGGAGACACAGACACGGAGACACGCGGGGTGAGACACAGACACACGGAGACACGCAGAGACACACGGGGTGAGACAAAGACACGGAGACACAGACACGGAGACACAGAGACATGTGGGTGAGACAGACACTGAGACACAGACACGGAGACACAGAGACATGTGGGTGAGACACAGACACGGAGACACAGACACGGAGACACAGAGACATGTGGGTGAGACACACGGAGACACGCAGAGACACACGGAGACACGGAGGACACGCGGGGTGAGACACAGACACGGAGACACAGAGACATGTGGGTGAGACACACGGAGACACAGACACGGAGACATGTGGGGTGAGACATGGAGACACGGAGACATGTGGGGTGAGACACGGAGGCACGCAGAGACACACGGAGACACAGAGACACGCGGGGTGAGACACAGACACGGAGACACAGACACGGAGACATGTGGGGTGAGACACGGAGACATGTGGGGTGAGACACGGAGACATGTGGGGTGAGACACGGAGACACAGACACGGAGACATGTGGGGTGAGACACGGAGACATGTGGGGTGAGACACGGAGACATGTGGGGTGAGACACGGAGACACAGACACGGAGACATGTGGGGTGAGACACGGAGACATGTGGGGTGAGACACGGAGACACGCAGAGACACACGGAGACATGTGGGGTGAGACACGGAGACAGACACGGAGACATGTGGGGTGAGACACGCAGAGACACACGGAGACACAGACACGGAGACATGTGGGGTGAGACACGCAGAGACACACGGAGACACAGACACGGAGACATGTGGGGTGAGACACGCAGAGACACACGGAGATACAGACACGGAGACAAGTGGGGTGAGACACGCAGAGACACACGGAGACACAGACACGGAGACAAGTGGGGTGAGACACGGAGACACAGACACGGAGACATGTGGGGTGAGACACGCAGAGACACACGGAGACAAGTGGGGTGAGACACGGAGACATGTGGGGTGAGACACGGAGACACGGAGACATGTGGGGTGAGACACGGAGACACGTGGGGTGAGACACGGAGACACGTGGGGTGAGACACGGAGACATGTGGGTGAGACACGGAGACACGTGGGGTGAGACACGGAGACATTTAGGGTGAGACACGGAGTTAAGTGGGGTGAGACACGGAGACAAGTGGGGTGAGACATGGAGACACGGAGACATGTGGGGTGAGACACGGAGACACGTGGGGTGAGACACAGAGACATGTGGGGTGAGACACGGAGACATGTGGGGTGAGACACGGAGACACGGAGACACGTGGGGTGAGACACGGAGACATGTGGGGTGAGACACGGAGACACGTGGGGTGAGACACAGAGACATGTGGGGTGAGACACGGAGACATGTGGGGTGAGACACGGAGACACGGAGACACGTGGGGTGAGACACGGAGACATGTGGGGTGAGACACGGAGACACGTGGGGTGAGACACGGAGACAAGTGGGGTGAGACACGGAGACACGTGGGGTGAGGACACGGAGACAAGTGGGGTGAGACACGGAGACAAGTGGGGTGAGACACGGAGACATGTGGGGTGAGACACGGAGACACGTGGGGTGAGACACGGAGACACGGAGACAAGTGGGGTGAGACACGGAGACAAGTGGGGTGAGACACGGAGACAGGGAGACATGTGGGGTGAGACACGGAGACACGTGGGGTGAGACACGGAGACACGTGGGGTGAGACACGGAGACACGTGGGGTGAGACACGGAGACACGTGGGGTGAGACACGGAGACAAGTGGGGTGAGACACGGAGACAAGTGGGGTGAGACACGGAGACACGTGGGGTGAGACACGGAGACATGTGGGGTGAGACACGGAGACACGTGGGGTGAGACACGGAGACACGTGGGGTGAGACACGGAGACACGTGGGGTGAGACACGGAGACACGTGGGGTGAGACACGGAGACACGTGGGGTGAGACACGGAGACACGTGGGGTGAGACACGGAGACACGTGGGGTGAGACACGGAGACAAGTGGGGTGAGACACGGAGACACGTGGGGTGAGACACGGAGACATGTGGGGTGAGACACGGAGACACGTGGGGTGAGACACGGAGACAAGTGGGGTGAGACACGGAGACACGTGGGGTGAGACACGGGAGACACGTGGGGTGAGACACGGAGACAAGTGGGGTGAGACACGGAGACACGTGGGGTGAGACACGGAGACATGTGGGGTGAGACACGGAGACACGTGGGGTGAGACACGGAGACACGTGGGGTGAGACACGGAGACACGTGGGGTGAGACACGGAGACACGTGGGGTGAGACACGGAGACACGTGGGGTGAGACACGGAGACACGTGGGGTGAGACACGGAGACAAGTGGGGTGAGACACGGAGACACGTGGGGTGAGACACGGAGACACGTGGGTGAGACACGGAGACAAGTGGGGTGAGACACGGAGACACGTGGGGTGAGACACGGAGACAAGTGGGGTGAGACACGGAGACACGTGGGGTGAGACACGGAGACAAGTGGGGTGAGACACGGAGACACGTGGGGTGAGACACGGAGACACGTGGGGTGAGACACGGAGACATGTGGGTGAGACACGGAGACACGTGGGGTGAGACACGGAGACATGTGGGTGAGACACGGAGACACGTGGGGTGAGACACGGAGACATGTGGGTGAGACACGGAGACACGTGGGGTGAGACACGGAGACATGTGGGTGAGACACGGAGACACGTGGGGTGAGACACGGAGACACGGAGACACGTGGGGTGAGACACGGAGACAAGTGGGGTGAGACACGGAGACACGTGGGGTGAGACACGGAGACACGTGGGGTGAGACACGGAGACACGTGGGGTGAGACACGGAGACATGTGGGGTGAGACACGGAGACACGTGGGGTGAGACACGGAGACAAGTGGGGTGAGACACGGAGACACGTGGGGTGAGACACGGAGACACGTGGGGTGAGACACGGAGACATGTGGGGTGAGACACGGAGACACGTGGGGTGATACACGGAGACAAGTGGGGTGAGACACGGAGACACGTGGGGTGAGACACGGAGACACGTGGGGTGAGACACGGAGACACGTGGGGTGAGACACGGAGACACGTGGGGTGAGACACGGAGACATGTAGGTGAGACACGGAGACACGTGGGGTGAGACACGGAGACATGTGGGGTGAGACACGGAGACACGTGGGGTGAGACACGGAGACATGTGGGGTGAGACACGGAGACACGTGGGGTGAGACACGGAGACATGTGGGGTGAGACACGGAGACACGTGGGGTGAGACACGGAGACACGTGGGGTGAGACACGGAGACACGTGGGGTGAGACACGGAGACACGTGGGGTGAGACACGGAGACATGTAGGTGAGACACGGAGACATGTGGGGTGAGACACGGAGACATGTGGGTGAGACACGGAGACACGTGGGGTGAGACACGGAGACATGTGGGGTGAGACACGGAGACACGTGGGGTGAGACACGGAGACATGTGGGGTGAGACACGGAGACACGTGGGGTGAGACACGGAGACACGTGGGGTGAGACACGGAGACAAGTGGGGTGAGACACGGAGACACGTGGGGTGAGACACGGAGACATGTGGGTGAGACACGGAGACACGTGGGGTGAGACACGGAGACATGTGGGTGAGACACGGAGACACGTGGGGTGAGACACGGAGACAAGTGGGGTGAGACACGGAGACACGTGGGGTGAGACACGGAGACACGTGGGGTGAGACACGGAGACACGTGGGGTGAGACACGGAGACAAGTGGGGTGAGACACGGAGACACGTGGGGTGAGACACGGAGACACGGAGACATGTGGGGTGAGACACGGAGACACGTGGGGTGAGACACGGAGACACGTGGGGTGAGACACGGAGACACGGAGACATGTGGGGTGAGACACGGAGACAGGCAGAGTGTTTTGCCCTGTTTCTTCACCTGAGGACGGCTGCTTGTGTTGTGGCCGAAACGTCGTGAGAATTTTATTCCATTTTGTTTAATTCTTATTATTTTATTATTTCCCTTCTACGTGACTCTACCGAAAGATGCAGAGAGTGGTTGGGTGAGTGAGCGAGGGGTGAGTTAGTGGGTGAGTGGGTGGGTGACTTAGTGGGTGGGTGAGTGGGTGGGTGACTTAGTGGGTGGGTGAGTGGGTGAGTGAGTGACTGAGTGAGTGAGTGGCGTGAGTGGTTGAGTTGTTGAGGGGTGAGTGGGCCAGTGGGTGAGTGAGGGGTAAGTGAGTGAGTGGATGAGTGAGGGGTGAGTGAGTGAGGGATGGGTGAGGGGTGAGTGAGTGGTTGATTGAGTGAGGGGTGGGTGATTGAGGGGTGAGTGATTGAGGGGTGAGTGAGCGGTTGAGTGAGGGGTGAGTGAGGGGTGAGTGATGGCTGAGTGAGTGGTTGAGTGAGGGGTGAGTGAGTGGTTGAGTGAGGGGTGAGTGAGTGAGTGGGTGAGTGAGTGGGTGAGTGAGGGGTGAGTGAGTGGGTGAGTGAGGGGTGAGTGGGTGAGGGATGGGTGAGGGGTGAGTGAGTGAGGGGTGAGTGAGTGATCGGTAAGTGGGTGGTTGAGTGAGTGAGGGGTGAGTGAGGGGTGAGTGAGTGACTGAGTGAGTGAGTGGTTGAGTTGTTGAGGGGTGAGTGGGTGAGTGGGTGGGTGAGTGGGTGAGTGAGTGGGTGAGTGAGGGGTGAGTGAGTGAGGGGTGAGTGAGGGGTGAGTGAGTGAGGGGTGAGTGATTGAGGGGTGAGTGATTGAGGGGTGAGTGAGCGGTTGAGTGAGGGGTGAGTGAGGGGTGAGTGATGGCTGAGTGAGTGGTTGAGTGAGGGGTGAGTGAGTGGTTGAGTGAGGGGTGAGTGAGTGAGTGGGTGAGTGAGTGGGTGAGTGAGGGGTGAGTGAGTGGGTGAGTGAGGGGTGAGTGGGTGAAGGATGGGTGAGAAGTGAGTGAGTGAGGGGTGAGTGAGTGATGGGTAAGTGGGTGGTTGAGTGAGTGAGGGGTGAGTGAGGGGTGAGTGAGTGACTGAGTGAGTGAGTGGTTGAGTTGTTGAGGGGTGAGTGGGTGAGTGGGTGGGTGAGTGGGTGAGTGAGTGGGTGAGTGAGGGGTGAGTGAGTGAGGGTGAGTGAGTGAGGGGTGAGTGAGTGAGGGGTGAGTGAGTGAGGGGTGAGTGAGTGAGGGGTGAGTGAGGGGTGAGTGAGGGGTGAGTGAGTGAGGGGTGAGTGAGGGGTGAGTGAGTGAGGGGTGAGTGAGGGGTGAGTGAGGGGTGAGTGAGGGGTGAGTGAGTGAGTGAGGGGTGAGTGAGGGGTGAGTGAGGGGTGAGTGAGGGGTGAGTGAGGGGTGAGTGAGTGGTGAGTGAGGGGTGAGTGAGGGGTGAGTGAGGGGTGAGTGAGTGAGTGAGGGGTGAGTGAGTGAGGGGTGAGTGAGTGAGGGGTGAGTGAGGGGTGAGTGAGTGAGGGGTGAGTGAGTGGTGAGTGAGGGGTGAGTGAGTGAGTGGTGAGTGAGTGGTGAGTGAGTGGTGAGTGAGTGGTGAGTGAGGGGTGAGTGAGTGGTGAGTGAGGGGTGAGTGAGTGAGTGGTGAGTGAGTGAGTGGTGAGTGAGTGGTGAGTGAGTGGTGAGTGAGGGGTGAGTGAGTGGTGAGTGAGTGGTGAGTGAGTGAGCCACTCACCTTACAGGCCAACACACTGAGTGTGCGTTCGTGAATATTCATGATGGGGTAATTCTTCCCCTTGTAGCGATTTACCTCCTACACACATCACCAACATCATCACCATGATCACCATCACCACCATTACCAACATCACCATCACTAACATCACCATCACCAACATCATCACCATGATCACCATCACCACCATTACCAACATCACCATCACTAACATCACCAACATCATCACCATGATCACCATCACCACCACCACCACCATCATCACCATGATCTCCATCACCACCACCATCACCACCACCACCATCACCACCATCACCACCATCACCACCACCATCACCACCATCACCACCACCACCACCATGCATGTGCCAGGCCAGGTGGGGATGATGATGACGACGAGGTGGATGACGAGGTGGATGACGAGGTGGATGACGAGGTGGATGACGAGGTGGATGATGATGACGAGGTGGATGACGACGAGGTGGATGACGAGGTGGATGACAACAAGGTGGATGACGAGGTGGATGATGACGAGGTGGATGACGACGTGGATGATGACGAGGTGGATGATGATGACGAGGTGGATGATGACGAGGTGGATGATGACGAGGTGGATGATGATGACGAGGTGGATGATGACGAGGTGGATGATGATGACGAGGTGGATGATGATGACGAGGTGGATGACGACGAGGTGGATGATGACGAGGTGGATGATGAAGAGGTGGATGACGACGAGGTGGATGACGACGAGGTGGATGACGACGAGGTGTATGATGACGAGGTGGATGACGACGAGGTGGATGATGACGAGGTGGATGACGACGAGGTGGATGATGACGAGGTGGATGATGAAGAGGTGGATGACGACGAGGTGGATGACGAGGTGGATGACAACAAGGTGGATGACGAGGTGGATGATGACGAGGTGGATGATGACGAGGTGGATGATGACGAGGTGGATGATGAAGAGGTGGATGACGACGAGGTGGATGACGACGAGGTGGATGATGATGAGGTGGATGATGACGAGGTGGATGATGACGAGGTGGATGATGACGAGGTGGATGATGACGAGGTGGATGATGATGAAGAGGTGGATGACGACGAGGTGGATGACGACGAGGTGGATGATGATGAGGTGGATGATGACGAGGTGGATGATGACGAGGTGGATGATGACGAGGTGGATGATGACGAGGTGGATGATGATGAAGAGGTGGATGACGACGAGGTGGATGACGACGAGGTGGATGATGACGAGGTGGATGACGACGAGGTGGATGATGATGAAGAGGTGGATGACGACGAGGTGGATGACGACGAGGTGGATGATGATGATGACGAGGTGGATGATGATGACGAGGTGGATGATGACGACGAGGTGGATGATGACGACGAGGTGGATGACGACGGGGTGGATGATGATGACGAGGTGGATGATGACGAGGTGGATGATGATGAAGAGGTGGATGACGACGAGGTGGATGACGACGAGGTGGATGATGATGATGACGAGGTGGATGATGATGACGAGGTGGATGATGACGACGAGGTGGATGATGACGACGAGGTGGATGACGACGGGGTGGATGATGACGACGAGGTGGATGACGACGGGGTGGATGATGATGACGAGGTGGATGATGACGAGGTGGATGATGACGAGGTGGATGATGATGACGAGGTGGATGATGATGATGACGAGGTGGATGAGGTCACCTGGTCAAAGTGGAGGCCCACAATGATGTAGGGATCCGATCGCAGGGCGTGGACCTTGTCCAGGAAGTCCAAATGTCCCACGTCTACAGCATCATTGTCAAGGTCTCAACATCATCAACATCATCATCACTATCATCATCATCACTATCAACATCACCATCATTATCATCACCATCATCATCATCACTATCATCATCATCACTATCATCATCATCACCATCACCGCCATCACCGCCATCACCACCATCGTCGTCAAGGTCTCAACATCATCATCATCACTATCAACATCACCATCATCATCACTATCATCATCATCACTATCATCATCATCACTATCATCATCACCATCACTATCACCATGACCACCATCACTATCACCACCATCACTATGACCATCACCACCATCACTATCACCATCACCACCATCACTATGACCATCACCACCATCACTATCACCATCATCACCATCACTATGACCACCACCACTATCACCATCACTATAACCATCACCACCATCACTATAACCATCATCACCATCACTATGACCACCATCACTATCACCATCACTATCACCATCACTATGACCACCATCACCATCCCTATGACCACCACCATCACTATCACCATCACTATCACCATCACCACCATCACTATCACCATCATCACCATCACTATGACCACCATCACCACCATCACTATAACCATCATCACCATCACTATCACCATCACTATGACCACCATCACTATCACCATCACCACCATCACTATGACCATCACCACCATCACTATGACCATCATCACCATCACTATCACCATCATCACCATCACTATGACCATCATCACCATCACTATCATCACCATCACTATGACCACCATGACTATGACCATCATCACCATCACTATGACCATCACCACCATCACTATCACCATCACCACCATCACTATGACCATCACCACCATCACTATGACCATCACCACCATCACTATGACCATCACTATGACCATCACTATCACCATCACTATCACCATCACTATGACCACCATCATCATCACTATCACCATCATCACCATCACTATAACCATCACCACCATCACTATAACCATCATCACCATCACTATGACCACCATCACTATAACCATCACCACCATCATCACCATCACCACCATCACCATCACTATGACCATCACCATCACTATCACCATGACCACCATCACTATGACCATCATCACCATCACTATCACCATCATCACCATCACTATGACCATCACCATGACTATGACCATCATCACCATCACTATGACCATCATCACTATCACCATCACCACCATCACTATGACCATCACCACCATCACCACCATCACCACCATCACCACCATCATCACCACCATCACCATCACTATGACCATCACCACCATCACCACCATCACTATCACCATCACCATCATCACCACCATCACCATGACCATCACCACCATCACCACCATCATCACCATCACCACCATCACTATGACCATCACCATGACTATGACCATCATCACCATCACTATAACCATTGTCGTCATCATCATTGTATGGTGGTGGTGAGCGTGGTGGTGAGCGTGGTGGTGGTGAGCGTGGTGGTAGTGGTGAGCGTGGTGGTAGTGGTGAGTGTGGTGGTGGTGGTGGTGGTGAGCGTGGTGGAGGTGGTGGTGGTGAGTGTGGTGGTGGTGAGCGTGGTGGAGGTGGTGGTGGTGAGTGTGGTGGTGGTGGTGAGCGTGGTGGTGAGCGTGGTGGTGGTGGTGAGCGTGTTGGAGGTGGTGGTGGTGAGCGTGGTGGAGGTGGTGGTGGTGAGCGTGGTGGAGGTGGTGGTGGTGAGTGTGGTGGTGGTGGTGAGCGTGGTGGAGGTGGTGGTGAGCGTGGTGGTGGTGGTGAGCGTGGTGGTGAGTGTGGTGGAGGTGGTGGTGAGCGTGTTGGAGGTGGTGGTGGTGAGCGTGGTGGAGGTGGTGGTGGTGAGCGTGGTGTGGTGGTGAGCGTGGTGGTGAGTGTGGTGGAGGTGGTGGTGAGCGTGTTGGAGGTGGTGGTGGTGAGCGTGGTGGTGGTGAGCGTGTTAGAGGTGGTGGTGGTGAGCGTGGTGGTGGTGGTGGTGAGCGTGGTAGTGAGCGTGGTGAGCGTGGTAGTGAGCGTGGTAGTGAGCGTGGTAGTGAGCGTGGTCGTGGTGAGCGTGGTGAGCGTGGTGGTGAGCATGGTGAGCGTGGTGGTGAGCGTGGTGAGCGTGGTGGTGGTGGTGAGCGTGGTAGTGAGCGTGGTAGTGAGCGTGGTGGTGAGCGTGGTGGTGAGCATGGTGAGCGTGGTGGTGAGTGTGGTAGTGAGCGTGGTAGTGAGCGTGGTGGTGGTAGTGAGCGTGGTGGTGGTGAGCGTGGTGGTGAGCGTGGTGAGCGTGGTGGTGAGGATACGGAACAGATCGAAGGCTCCGGCCACGTAGATGATCTGGTGGTGAGGGCCGGGTTCAACCCCAGAGGAGAATTGAGAGACGCGCAGAGAAGTCTGCAGGAGACGAGATGCCCCATCCCACGGGGACAGAGACACGCCCTGCGGAGACACGGGGAGACACACACAGGGAGACACACAGTGAGACACGGGGAGACACACACAGGGAGACACGGGGAGACACACAGTGAGACACGGGGAGACACGGGGAGACACGGGGAGACACGGGGAGACACGGGGAGACACACACGGGGAGACACGGGGAGACACGGGGAGACACACACGGGGAGACACACACAGGGAGACACGGGGAGACACACACGGGGAGACACACACAGACACACGGGGAGACACAGTGAGACACACACACAGGGAGACACACACAGGGAGACACGGGGAGACACACACAGTGAGACACGGGGAGACACACAGTGAGACACGGGGAGACACACAGTGAGACACGGGGAGACACACACGGGGAGACACGGGGAGACACACACAGGGAGACACACGGGGAGACACGGGGAGACACACACAGAGAGACACACGGGGAGACACGGGGAGACACACACAGGGAGACACCGGGGAGACACGGGAGACACGGTGAGACACGGTGAGACACACACAGTGAGACACGGGGAGACACACGGGGAGACACGGGGAGACACACACAGGGAGACACACGGGGAGACACGGGGAGACACACACAGGGAGACACACGGGGAGACACGGGGAGACACACACAGGGAGACACACGGGGAGACACGGGGAGACACGGTGAGACACGGTGAGACACACACAGTGAGACACGGGGAGACACACGGGGAGACACGGGGAGACACACAACAGGGAGACAACACGGGGAGACACGGGGAGACACACACAGTGAGACACACACGGTGAGACACGGTGAGACACACACAGTGAGACACGGGGAGACACACACACAGTGAGACACACACAGGGAGACACACACAGTGAGACACACACAGTGAGACACACACAGTGAGACACACACACAGTGGAGACACACACAGTGAGACACACACAGTGAGACACACACAGTGAGACACACACAGTGAGCACACACACAGTGAGACACACACACAGTGAGACACACACAGTGAGACACACCACAGTGAGACACACACAGTGAGACACACACACAGTGAGGACACACACACAGTGAGACACACACACAGTGAGACACACACAGTGAGACACACACACAGTGAGACACACACAGTGAGACACACACAGTGAGACACACACAGTGAGACACACAGTGAGACACACACAGTGAGACACACACACAGTGAGACACACACAGTGAGACACACACAGTGAGACACACAGTGAGACACACAGTGAGACACACACAGTGAGACACACAGTGAGACACACAGTGAGACACACACAGTGAGACACACACAGTGAGACACACACCGTGAGACACACACAGTGAGACACACACAGTGAGACACACACAGGGAGACACACACAGTGAGACACACACAGGGAGACACACACAGGGAGACACACACAGTGAGACACACACAGACACACACACACACAGAGACACACACAGTGAGACACACACAGAGAGACACACACAGGGAGACACACACAGGGAGACACACACAGGGAGACACACAGGGAGACACACACAGGGAGACACACAGGGAGACACACACAGGGAGACACACACAGGGAGACACACAAGGAGAGAGACAGGGAGACACACACACAGGGAGACACACACAGGGAGACACACACAGTGAGACACACACAGGGAGACACACAGTGAGACACACACACGGAGACACACAGTGAGACACACAGGGAGACACACACAGTGAGACACACACAGTGAGACACACACAGTGAGACACACACAGTGAGACACACACAGTGAGACACACACAGTGAGACACACACAGGGAGACACACACAGGGAGACACACAGTGAGACACACACAGTGAGACACACAGTGAGACACACACAGTGAGACACACACAGTGAGACACACACAGTGAGACACACACAGTGAGACACACACAGTGAGACACACACAGTGAGACACACACAGGGAGACACACACAGTGAGACACGGTGAGACACACACACTGAGACACACACAGGGAGACACACACAGTGAGACACACACAGTGAGACACACACAGGGAGACACACACAGGGAGACACACACAGTGAGACAACACAGTGAGACACACACAGTGAGACACACAGACACACACAGTGAGACACACACAGTGAGACACACACAGTGAGACACACACACAGTGAGACACACACAGTGAGACACACACAGTGAGACACACAGAGACACACACAGTGAGACACACAGTGAGACACACACAGTGAGACACACACAGTGAGACACACACAGTGAGACACACACACACACAGTGAGACACACACACAGTGAGACACACACAGTGAGACACACACACAGTGAGACACACACACAGTGAGACACACACAGTGAGACACACACAGTGAGACACACACAGTGAGACACACACAGTGAGACACACACAGTGAGACACACACACAGTGGAGACACACACACAGTGAGACACACACAGTGAGACACACACAGTGCGACACACACAGTGAGACACACACAGTGAGACACACACAGTGGAGACACACACAGTGAGACACACACGTGAGACAACACACAGTGAGACACCAGTGAGACCACACACAGTGAGACCACGGTGAGGACACACACAGTGAGACACACACAGTGAGACACACACACAGTGAGACACACACACACAGTGAGACACAGTGAGACACACACCAGTGAGACACACACAGTGAGACACACACAGGGAGACACACACGGGGAGACACACACAGTGAGACACACACAGAGACACACACAGTGAGACACACACAGTGAGACACACACACAGAGAGACACACACAGTGAGACACACACAGTGAGACACACACAGTGAGACACACACAGTGAGACACACACACAGTGAGACACACACAGAGAGACACACACAGTGACACACACAGTGAGACACACACACAGGGAGACACACCACAGTGAGACCACACAAGTGAGACACACACAGTGAGACACACACAGTGAGACACACACAGAGAGACACACACAGTGAGACACACACAGTGAGACACACACACAGTGAGACCACACACAGTGAGACACACACACAGTGAGGACACCACACAGTGAGACACACACAGTGACACACCCACAGTGAGACACACAGTGAGACACACACACACAGTGAGGACACACACAGGGAGACACACACAGAGAGACACACACAGTGAGACACACACAGTGAGACACACACAGTGAGACACACACAGTGGAGACACACACACAGTGAGACACACACAGTGAGACACACACAGTGAGACACACACAGTGAGACACACACAGGGAGACACACACGGTGAGACACACACAGTGAGACACAGTGAGACACACACAGTGAGACAAACACAGTGAGATACACACGGTGAGACACACACAGTGAGACACACACAGTGAGACACACACACAGTGAGACACACACACAGTGAGACACACACAGTGAGACACACACAGTGAGACACACACACAGTGAGACACACACACAGTGAGACACACACAGTGAGACACACACACAGTGAGACCACACACACAGTGAGACACACACAGTGAGACACGGGGAGACACACACAGAGAGACCAGGGGAGACACACACGGGGAGACATACACAGACACACGGGGAGACACACACAGACACACGGGGAGACACACACGGGGAGACACGGGGAGACACACAGGGAGACACGGGGAGACACACACAGGGAGACACACACGGTGAGACACGGTGAGACACACACAGTGAGACACGGGGAGACACGGTGAGACACGGTGAGACACACACAGTGAGACACGGGGAGACACACGGGGAGACACGGGGAGACACCACACAGGGAGACACACACGGTGAGACACGGTGAGACACACACAGTGAGACACGGGGAGACACACACACAGTGAGACACACACAGTGAGACACACACAGTGAGACACACACAGTGAGACACACACAGTGAGACACACACACAGTGAGACACACACAGTGAGACACACACAGTGAGACACACACAGTGAGACACACACAGTGAGACACACACACAGTGAGACACACACAGTGAGACACACACAGTGAGACACACACAGTGAGACCACACACAGTGAGACACACACACAGTGAGACACACACACAGTGAGACACACACACAGTGAGGACACACACACAGTGAGACACACCACAGTGAGACACAACACAGTGAGAACACACACAGTGAGACACCACAGTGAGACACACACAGTGAGACACACACGGTGAGACACACACAGTGAGACACACACAGTGAGACACACAGTGAGGACACACACAGTGAGACACACACAGGTGAGCACACACACAGTGAGACACACACAGTGAGACACACACAGTGAGACACACACAGTGAGACACACACAGTGAGACACACACAGTGAGACACCACACAGGGAGACACACACAGTGAGACACACACAGGGAGACACACACAGTGGAGACACACACAGTGAGACACACCACAGTGAGACACACACAGTGAGACACCCACAGTGAGACACACACAGTGAGACACACACAGTGAGACACAGTGAGACACACACAGGGAGACACACACAGGGAGACACACACAGGGAGACACACACAGGGAGACACACACAGTGAGACACACACACAGGGAGACACACACAGGGAGACACACAGTGAGACACACACAGTGAGACACACAGTGAGACACACACAGTGAGACACACACAGTGAGACACACACAGTGAGACACACACAGTGAGACACACACAGTGAGACACACACAGGGAGACACACACAGGGAGACACACAGTGAGACACACACAGTGAGACACACAGTGAGACACACACAGTGAGACACAACAGTGAGACACACACAGTGAGACACACACAGTGAGACACACACAGGGAGACACACAGTGAGACACGGTGAGACACACACAGTGAGACACACACAGGAGACACACACAGAGAGACACACA